AAAATTATTGTAACAAAAAATTTTTTTTGGTGACGAATAAAATTGTTATAAATAACTTGTTAACAATATCAATTTTTTCTATCACTATAACATTATTTTTTATAACAGGTGTCTAATTTATCACTAAGAGCATTAGTGACAAGAGTTTTACTAACGGTTTAAATTTTACCACTAATAATAATTTGTGACAAAAAATAAAGATTTAATGATTAATAATTTAGCCACTAAATGTGGATTTTCTTGTAGTGTTTTATTTTAATATCATTATTACATAATAGTTTTAATTAGTTAATTAATTAAATTTAAATAAATTTTTGTTATTTTTTATATAAATTAATTAAAAAAATGTATTTATTGTGCCATTTAAGGCACAAGATAGAAAAACTTATTTAAAATTTTTTTTGAATTACATAATAAAAATAACCTTATTTTTTTCTTTACTTCACATTACCTATATTTTATGTAACTTAAAATTAATATCTCTTAATTTTTACGAAAAAAGTATTATTACTAAGTTAGTTCATAGACATAAATCTTATGTTATTAGCATTTAGTAAGTATGTTGTTTTCTTAATTAAATATTCATATTTATTTTATGATTTTCTTAGTTAAAATGGAATTGAAATTATTAAATTGTAAAGACAAATATAACTGTTAGCCAAAAATTTGAGAAAAATTCCTCAATGCAATAGGTGACACGTTAGTTTTCTCTGACTAATAGCAACCTATTTAACATATGGTTTCAAGCATCATAAAAAAACGTGACACAATTTTAAATTTTACGTCAAAAACTTGTTAGAGATTTTTTGAGTGATACCTAACCAAATTTCTTATAAATGATTTAAATAATTTAATAGTTATTTTTTTTCATTAAAAATAAAAAATATTGATTTCGAGACGTATAACATGCGAATGAGATAAATTAAAGATAAGAGATGATTGCTTTTTATTTTATAACCAAAATAGATAAAAAAAAAAAAAAACCCAAAGTTTCCCATGGCCAGTTGCATTGATAGTGTTATTACATTTGCTTCCATTGGTCGAAGACGATAGGTACCGCGAAATGGTATAACGGTTGCATTGATACTTTTTAGGATTTACTGAAAACAAAAACGATAAACTATACATTTTTTCTTTTGTAAAATAGCTCGTATAAGTGCAGTTTGGACTTGTTTGTAAGCTTGGTACTGATTGCACTTTAATAAATTATTAAAATGTCATTAATGAATAAAATTGAAAAGGAGTTTTATTAAGAAATAGGAATTTATTTAAAAATAGGTCTTACACATTATATTTAGATAAAGTTTTGATAATTTTTTTTATTTTTAATAGTTGAGATTTATCATAATTTTTTAAATAAAAAAATAAATTATCTTTAATAAATATAATAAATAAATAAATAAATTTTAACTATTAAAAATAAATAAATAATTAATTAAAATTTTTTAAATGTAATATATAAAATTTATATATAAATATATCTTAACCCTTTATTAAGTGCACATTGTTAAATTCATTGTTTGAATTAAACTTTTTTTCTACGGTCTAATTTGAAAAGGAGATTTTATTTGTAGATGTTTATATAGTTTTGGATAATCCTCTTAAATTTTAAAAACTTATAATGTAATTAATAATTTTAAAAATTAACTATCAAATTAAATATTTATTTATTGACCATAAATATTAATTTTCAAATTAATTTAATATTTATAATTTTTAATTGAAAAAATTTTAGTTACTAATATATATTTAAAGGGTTAAATTTCATGTAATTTATATTACAATAATTTAAAAATTGACATATAAAATTTAAATAACTAAAGTTTCAAATCTAATTATTAATTTTAAAACACTATTGATTAAAATATAACATTTTAGGAGATGCCTTCATAAAAGCATTCTACAAAATACTTTCAAATAAAGAAGATACTTTTCAAAATATAGAAGAGAAGCATATTTTTTTGAATATTAAAATTATTAAAATATTTATAGGATTGTGATATAGGAACAAATTTTTTTACAAATTTTTATATAATTTTTATATATTATTAAATGAATGAATGTATTTAATATTATGAATATCAAATGAAAAATAATTATTTAAATAATATATAAAATTATATTAAAATATAATACAAAAAATTATTCCTAAATTATTTTTTGTATTTTTAATAAGGAAACATAAATAGGAATTTCATAAGACTATTTGGTAAATCCTTGGCTGCGGCCATAAGCAGTAAAAATTTGAAAAACACTTTTTGAAAGGTGAAGGATAAGGTTTACTTATATAAAAATTTTATATATTATGTTTATATAAAATTTTAATTATTTATTTTTAATAATTAAAATTAACTTTTTATTATAATTATTTTTAATATAAAAATTATAATAAATTTTAATTATTAAAAATAAATAATTAAAATTCTATAAAAATATAACACTATGTGAATAAATTTTTATTTAAAAAAATATCATGAAATTTTTTAGAAAAATAGTAGTACTAATTTGGTCATGAAAGCCAAAGAGTTTCTTTCCTTTGCGTGGGAAGTTATGGTCAACCAGCATTTATTATTGATTAAGAAAGTAGTACTTAAAAGAAAAACAAAATAATTATAAAAGAAATAAAAGTCTATAAAAGGATTAACGCACTAGAAAACTACAAAGAAAGGTGAATTTATTCGCCATTTCTTTATCTTCAAGTTTCGGAGGATCTTCTCCACGCAAAACCAGAGGAGTGCACGTTCTCAGAATCTTTACCCAAGAACTTGTCCGACATTCTCATTTTTCCGTAGTTTTTAAGTTTCCTTTTTGTTTTTTTCTTTTTTTTGGGTTCCCTTTTTTATGTTTTGGCTGGCAGCTGTTACCGTAATCTGTAATCATGGCGCAGACCAACTGGGAAGCCGATAAAATGTAAGTGTAATGTAAAGTGTAAACCCATTTGTTCTTGGTGTTTCTTTTATGTTCTTTTGGTGTCAAGGATGGAACTCCTGGTGTTCTTGGTTGGATATGAGTTTTTTGTTTCAGTGTTGTTCTTGAGTTTCTTTACAGTGTGTATATATTGGGTTGGCATGCTGTTTTTTCATATTCTGTGTTGGGTTCTCTCTGTTGGCACGTTTTGTTGGTGGGTTTTGCGGCTTTAGCTTTGTGGTTTCTGTTTTGGGTTCCCATCTGGGTATTTCTCAGATTTTCTCAGACTCTGCTCAAGCATGGTTTTATGTTTTATGGCTTTGTTTTGGTCTAGGGTTTTCATTCATAACTTTCAGTTTCTTTATATTGATTATACCCTTTGTGTCCGTTCTTTTTCCTCCAATGTTTCTTGAATGCTTCCACTTGGTTATCCACGGAAAATTAGAAAAAAGGGGTATTATATAATTATATTACTTGCAAGGGGAGACTGTTACACCCTTTCATTGCAACCCAATGGTGACTTAAAGGTTTAATAGAATCACACATTATCTCAATTGTACTTTCTAGAATATTCAAAAGGGCTGAGCAATTGTGGTAAGCAGTGGTTTCTTTGAAGGTTTATATTTACAGGATTTTTCATGAGGTGAATTTCGATACTTTTCTGCTCATCTGCTTGTCTTTATTTTCTTAGCAGTTCAATGTTGGATTTCTGTTGGTTTGTGCTTTTATGTTCTACATTCTTATGAATTCTGGGATTGTTATACGTCAAATTACCTAATTTTGACTATTTGTAAACTTATATTGCTTCTGAGAATAGGTTGGATGTTTATATACATGACTATCTCTTGAAGAGGAAATTACATGCTTCTGCAAAGGCATTTCAAGCTGAAGCAAAAGTATCTACTGATCCCGTAGGTAGGAATGCATTTGCAAAGCAGTATTAATTTTTTCTTATTGAACTTTCTAGATGTTGAATTTTGTGTTTGCATGTGATCCAGCTATTGATGCGCCTGGTGGCTTTCTATTTGAGTGGTGGTCTGTCTTTTGGGACATATTCATTGCCAGGACAAATGAGAAGCACTCTGAAGTTGCTGCATCTTACATTGAGGTCTGTTTCTGGGTTTTTTCTGACAATGGCTGGTGGTAATAGGGGTCTGTCAAGCTTTTAGCCATTTTTTTCTCAAGCTTGCCTGCTTTTTAGGCTAGAATTTGGACCTAGTCTTGTGGTTCAGCTCATCATAACAACACTCTGTGATAACTATATTCTGGGGATATGAACTCAGTCCTGTGTTGAGAATGCCTAGGATTGATATGCTTCTGATTGATGTTGCTATTTTGTTTTATCTGCTATCTGCCCATACAGTATCTCCTGCATGTGTTTCACTAGAATCTACTAGACCCTCTATTGAAAAGTTTAATAATGTGCTTAATGCTTTTAAGATTGTCCCAAGAATTCTAATATCCTTTTTGAATAGTTTTAGTTATCATCTTAGCAATGGCACCTCTCTGGAAGTTAACTATTATTGTAGAACTGAACTCTTAGTATCTATGTTTTTTCTTTAATAACCTATTGGTTTAAGACGACAGCAGTCTACCACATATTGGATCTTTTCTTGAATATGTTGCTGGGGGAATTGGCTTCTGTTTTAAACAAAATTCTTATGCATCCATGAGTATTGAGTGGTGATTATATTTTATTTTGAAAATTTTCAGTTCATGTCATTAGTTGTCTTGTAAATTGCAATTATAGATGGATAAATGATTTCCTGCTGTCTAATTCATGCAAATGATAATGACAGACTCAAATGATGAAGGCTAGAGAACTGCAGCAGAACCAACAACAACAGCATCAGAAGCCTCAGCAGATTCAGATGCAGCAGCTGTTGCTGCAGAGGCAGGCTCAGCAACAGCAGCAACAGCAGCAGCGTAGGGAAGGGTCCCAGATACTTAATGCAACTGCAAATGAGCTTGTTGGCAATGATCCTCTTATGAGACAGAGCCCTGCAACAAAGATGTATGAGGATACCTTTAAGCTTCCACTCCAGAGGGATTCCATGGATGATGCAGCCATGAAGGTACTAAGTTCATATTAGATTATTGGAACAGAAAACCTTTCTTTCTTTCCTTCATTTCTTTGACATCAGATAACTACTCAGCAAAGGTTAGGCGACAACGTGAGCCAGCTGCTAGACCCTAATCAAGCCTTAATGTTAAAAGCACCTGCTGTTGGTAGCCAGCCCTCAGGGTATGCATTATATGATCTTAGATTTAATTTTGTGAATACAATTGTGATACCATTTGTTAATTTTCTCCATGCTTCACATATGTTTGATGTGTAAACCAGCAGTACCTAAATTCCTCCTTTTTAGGCAAACACTGCATGCTATATCTGGAAACATGCCTGGAAACTTTCAGCAAGTTCAAAATCGGGGCCAGCAACTTCAAGTGCCCTCACAGGTACCTTATTTTCATCTTTCTCTTATCCAAGATATCATTTTAGTTAGTATGTTTCTTACATAGCTCTGGTATATTGTGGGCATTCAAACAGGATTTAAAGAGCGATATTAATTCAATGGTGAATTCTAGGCTCGCTGGTGCAGAGGGATCATTTATTGGTGCTCATGGTACTGATTTCCCTTACTACTTTAGAAAAGGATTGGTCTGTTTTCCCTTGAGCAGTTCTTATTAGTGTTTAACTGTAAAAAATGTAACTCTGGGTTTGAGAAATCTTCAATTATGTCATTAACTGTAAGTTAAGTTCTAGTCCTTGGATTTTTATTAATTTAGGTTTGTAATTTATTCAATACCCCTATAAACCATGGTAACAGTTATTGACAAAACTAGGTTCACTAAAAAGGAACACTTATGAACACAATGTGACTGTTTAAAGGTATGTTTAAACCTAAGGTAAAGAGACACATCTTCTAGAAGTAAAAGAAAACTTTAAATGTTTATACCAGATTAAGGAATTCACATAACATCAGAGTATCAGTATCAGCTAAGTTGCCTAAGTAAATGATCTGTTTTAAGTGAACTCTGAAAAAACTTCCATGAAGTCTTTTCAACTTGTATGTTTTGATGTCAATATTTTGAACTGTATCCTTTGGTGTAGATTGTAGAACTTTTGTCGAATGGGGTTATAGCTTTTGGTTCAAGGTCTTAAATTAGTTGGAAGATATCTTATTCTCCAAGACCTTTGTTCAGCAAGACCAACTTTAGCTTTTACTGTTTAAACTGGCAGAGAGATAATGACTTTTACCGGTTTTCTTGTGTAAAATGTGTTTTGACAGCAGCTACCATTGATGTGAACTAGAAGTTCCTATTCCGCAAATGCACTCTGTTGTTGTAGAATCTCAGCAAATACAAGTCAATTCCACAGGGGCTGTTATTTACTGTGAACTTGCAGAATTGAAACATCTAGTTCACAATCAACTATTTAAGTTATAAAATCATATGGTAAATAATTTAATTCTAAACAGCTGAATGATGCATTGGAGATTCTCACTCTAGGGATGCAAATGAGCCATTTCATGTGAAAGAGATATAATTATTCTGTTGGTCTGTCTTCCATTTCATCTAATTTGATTTTAACATTCATTTTGGCTTCAACTATCACACTATTTTTTTAGGGTCAAATCAAGCTGGTGGGAATTTGACTCTGAAAGGATGGCCATTAACTGTAAGTTTTTCAGCTTATTGATATGTTATCTGTAGTCCTCTCCTCTGTATGCCTTGCCATGCGATTGAGCAGCCATATGCTGGTTTGGTTTGTGAAAAAAGATATAGGTTGTGGAATAGGTCAGGGATTCAAGTTGAATTTATTTTTTTTGGTACATTGAATTTATTAATTAAAAGGATTGATATTTTACATATTTCTTTAGGTTGAGTTTTGAAAATAATTGTTCATACTACTTTGGAAAACCTATCTAACGTCTTTTAATAATTGTTCATACTACGTTGCTGATATGTGATATGCCTTGGGTTTTTCTTTGTTAATAATTGTTTCACTTTGTTAGGGTCTTGATCAACTTCGGTCTGGGTTTCTTCAGCAGCAGAAATCTTTGATTCAGTCCTCTCAGCCCTTCAATCAACTGCAACTGCAGCAACAGCTATTGCTTCAAGCATCACCTGCTGCCAATGACTCAGAAAGCAGAAAACTAAGGATGCTTCTTAACAATCGGAATATGGGTCTTGGGAAGGATGCTCCATTAAATCCTGTTAGTGATGTGGTCCCAAATGTTGGATCACCCTTGCATGTTGGCTGTCCTGTGTTACCTCGTGGGGACCCTGATATGCTAATGAAGGTGTCCTTTTTTGTTATTGCACTTGAGGTTTTCAAATATTGTCCTGTTTTTGCTGTAATATCTTCCTCTATGATAATACATGTTTTGAATATGTCTCAGTTACAGCAGCAACAACTGCGGAACAACAATCAACAACAATTTGTTCAACATCCACTTTCTAGCCAACAGTCTCAGAATTCCAGTCAACATCTTCAGCAGCAAGATAAAATGATTGGTGCCTGCAGTATGACAATGGAAGGGAGCATGTCTAATGTTTTTCACGGAAATGATCAGGTTTTAATAATAATTGACTTTGGGCTTTAAATATTGTAATCTTTACTCTTTTTTTTCTCAAATCATTTCTTTCCAGTTACCTGCTTCACCAACTAAAAGTCTTCTATTTTCCAAGTACATTGTCACATTTCAAAAGTTATTTAAAGGAAAGTCTGTTCCTACCATCAAACTTCTTTTCAGCCATCATGTGGCATGAACTACTATTACCAAACAAAAGAATTTTAATAGCTAGAGTGTGTGGTGTTTTCACTTGTGATAGTTGTCCTGTACTCTAGTGTATATTAGGCTGTTAGTCTGTTACCACTGTTGTTCCTGATTTCCAGACATCAGGTGTTCATCTTGATCATTAGTCCTAATTGATATAATCCTGCTTATAGACTAATACAGCTCTTTATCCCTGCATAAGGCTTCCAAAAATCAAGTGGGTCGAAAAAGGAAGCAGCCAGGTTCATCTTCAGGTCCTGCTAATAGCTCAGGAACTGCAAATACTACTGGACCATCACCAAGTTCACCATCGTCACCTTCTACTCACACACCTGGAGATGCTATCTCAATGCCCACTTTGCCACATAATGGCGGTTCCTCTAAGTCTTTACTTATGTTTGGTTCTGATGGTTTGAATTCCCTTACATCAGCTCCAAATCAATTGGTTATCTACAACCCCTTGTTAATCTTTTAATATATTTTATTTGGAATGATGTGATTTACATTTTTTTTTCATTAATCTTTTTCTAGCAAGCACATAACCCAAAATGAATTGGTAAATGACATTCACTTTTTGAGCCAAAATATTGTCATTTGGATCAGTCTCAAAGCTAAGTAGAATTTCGAGAGTGACAACCTAATTTTCCTAAACACATAACCATTGTTAGTTGCTCAGTTTTCTACTCAATTTAATAACATCAATTGTTTTGCTTACTACAGTTAGTGTGCTTGTTATTTGCCTCCCACAGTTAGTGTGTTATTTTGCCTACCACACTTAGTGTGCTCGTTATTTTGCCTACCACACTTAGCGTGCTCGTTATTTTGCCTACTACAGTTAAGCTGGACTTTCTACCTAGAAAAATGTATTTCTGGATATCAAGATTTGTTATCTTTTACTCATCTCTGGTGTGTCCATTGAAGGACATTTACAGGCCACTCGCATTGCTTTGGTCACTAACATTTGATTCTGCTATTGGATAACTTGGGATATAATTCACAGGGTGATATGGACCGGTTTGTTGATGACGCCCTAGAAGATAATGTAGACTCATTCCTATCTCATGACGAACCAGATTCTAGAGATAGAGTTGGCAGGTCTACTGATGACAGCAAAGGTATGATTAGTGTTTTCTTTTTGGTGGATTGTGTTCCTTCACTCATGCACATAGGTAGATGGATTGAGTTGACATTTAATTGTAACCAGGCTTCAAATTTACGGAGGTTCGTCTGATTTCTGCGAGCACAAGTGAAGTTGAATGTTGTCACTTTTCATCGGATGGAAAGTTGTTTGCCACTGGTGGACATGATAAGAGAGTAAGGCCTATGTTGATATAATACAGCTTTAATTTAATTGTTTGATTTCGAAGAACACAATACAAAACCTGTTTTTCTTGATAAGAGAACTTTAGTGCTGTTTGAATTGATGTCTTTGATTATTATTATTATTATTATGAGAATGCTGTAGTGCAGCCTGCCCTGTGCATACCGAACTACTTTTAACCATATATGGAAGGGTGGGCCCAGTATCAGGGGGCCCACCCCCTCCATCAGTGGTCAAGTGAAGTGCAGTCCGTGCAGGGCAGACTGCACTTCATTTCTCTGTATTATTCTTATTATTATTTTATCAACCTGAAGTTTTTGAGTTACTACAAAAGCAAGATGCTCTACGCTTGATTATGTTGTGGCACAGGCTGTTCTATGGTGCACAGAGTCTTTTACTGTGAAGTCAACCCTTGAAGAGCATTCTCAATGGATAACTGATGTCCGCTTCAGTCCAAGTGTGTCAAGACTTGCTACATCTTCAGCTGACAAAACTGTCAGGATATGGGATGCTGATAATGTTAGTAAGAATTATCTCTTCTTTTAAAGGGTCATCATGATTCTTTTTGCAAGCATATTTTTGTTTGGAATTTAAGGTAACATAGATCAAGTTTATATCTTGTCAGATTATTTCTTATTTCTGACTTCTGTGTTATGTTCAAATGTACCCTTCTAAATATGAAGTTGCTTCTGGTTCATGTCCTTTGATCACATTTAGGTTAATCCTAATCCACCTTTGTTTGTCTAATGCTGTGATTACTTTTTGTTTTTTTTTGGGTACTTTTGGGAGGCTGAGGTGGGGAGGGGATGGCTGCTTCTCTACATATTTTGTTATGTCAACTCTTTTGCTTCTGACCTGTATTCTATTTTATGGATACTTGATCCTACTTTGCAGCCAGGATATTCCCTTCGTACTTTTGTTGGACATTCTACAACAGTCATGTCATTAGATTTCCACCCAACTAAAGAGGATCTTATCTTCTCATGTGATAGCAGCAGTGAGATACGATACTGGAGTATCAAGAATGGTACCTCTGCTGGAGTTTTCAAAGTACAGAACCCTATGTTATTCATATCCAGAAGAAATTTAACTCATAATCACTGTTTTTCCCCTTTCTTGCTTTCGTTTCCTTCTTTTTGTTCTTTCATAAATCAATTTTTTCCTATTTTATCAGGGTGGTGCAACCCAGTTGAGATTTCAACCATGTTTTGCAAGGATTCTTGCAACTGCTGCTGATAATTTTGTATCCATATTTGATGTTGAAACCCAAAGTTGCAGGGCTAAATTACAGGTGAATTTATTATGTCTTTTTATTCCTTTGTTCATTGTTGGCGGTGGATATTCAAGTTAGAGTGTTCTTCTTCTTTCTTTTTTTTCTTTTTTTTCTTTTTTTTTTTTTCTAATTATTTGTTCAAGTTTGATGCATTTTAGAAATTATTTACTTATATTTCATTTAATTTCTTTTCTTCCATTATTTCTGTGGACTGTGGAGTAGCTTCTATTTTCCTGAAAAATAATTAACCTGTCATGCTCAAAATATTTTATAATGTTGACTGCCATTGCAGGGTCATAAAAACCAAGTCCATTCTGTGTGCTGGGATACTTCTGGAGAGTATCTGGCATCTGTAAGTGATGAGTTGGTTAGAGTGTGGAATATTGGCTCTGGTAGCAAAGCAGACTGCATTCATGAATTGAGTTGCCCTGGCAACAAATTCCGTACCTGTATTTTCCATCCCACTTATCCTTCCTTGTTGGTCATCGGCTGTAATGAGGTAAGTTATTGCCATTGCTGGATTGGTTCTTTAAATCATTGAATTAAGTCACACAATCTTCCTTTGGTTCTTGGTTTGTAATTATAAATGTTGCATGGGATTCTTTCTGCATGCCTGAACCATTAAATTGTCAACATTCCATTGCTAAATATAAATGTTGTTTCATCTTCTTCACTGAAATGGAATTCTTCATGTTTCTAGAATCTAGAGTTTTGGAACATTACTGAGAACAAGAGAATGACAATGCATGCTCATGAGAAACTTGTTTCTGCCTTGGCGGTATCAAATACTGGTTTGGTGGCCTCAGCTAGCCACGACAAGTGTGTCAAGATATGGAAGTGAGCTCTCGTCCTTCTCCTGTCTTTAGACCATTTTGTCAACAGTATAGCTTCTTCACTCACCATATATATCTACATATTCCAGACATATATGGTTGAACAGACTCTTTTAACAGGGAGAGGGGTATAAGATTTTGTCCATTCGGTTTTTACCCTAACCTAGTCTCACCCTCAGTTGACCCCAAGCCTTAATTTATTTCTTTTGTTGAAGCTGATGTTCAGGCAAGAAGAAACACAAGTAGATGAATTCCAGTAGTACATATAGAAAAATATTGTGCATATATTATATACATTAGTTCTAGTATTTCTAAATGAACTTTATGAGAAATTTCTATCTTCCTTTGATGTTATTACCATGGTTCATTTTCTTTACATGTTCATGTTGCTGTCGTGTAACCTTGGGTCAAGGCCTCGTTAATCAAAAGATTATGGCTGCGTTTGAGATTACTGCATATGTAGTACTTTTCACCTGTAGCAACGTTACTATTGCACATTACATTTGAAAATGATGACTAAATACTAATATGCTTCCACAGTAGCAAAACAGTAATGCATAACAATTTCAAACGTGGTCATATTTCGATCAAAGTCAGTACAAATGACTACAAGGGGGGGTCTCAGCCCAGTTTGGTATCGACATTGAGACGAATTAACTCGAGTGCCTTGTTAAAGTATGTTCCTTTGATATGGAGGTACTCGTTCCAGGTAACAGGGCGATATAAGGGATGATGATCAGTGTCAATCATCTTCATCAATGGAGAGACCTTGGCATCCCTCGGTGGTCCATAAAAATAGGCAATGGAGACTCGGTGGTTGGTCCGGTTCACAACAGCCCGATGTAGACAGTTCTTGAACCGGCCATTGGAGATTATGTGCATCAAGTCACCGACGGTAACCACCAGAGAACCGTCCACCGGTTGCACCGGCACCCACCCCATGTTTTCTCTATGCACCTGGAGTCCGGCAATGTTTCCTTGGTAGAGCAAAGTGAGAAGTGATGAGTCTGTGTGAGGTGCTAGGCCCATGGCCTGGTCCGGGTCTGGGCAGGCAGGGTATGAGTTCAAGTGAAGCACACGTTGTTGTGGGTTTTTGCACACATTTGTGGGCTTAAACCATTTCACATCCTGGTTTGTTAAGCCTACTGAGCAAAACATCAGACTCATTAATTTCTCGCTCAGCCCATTCATCTCTTCTTGGCACTCTTCCATTATTTCGCTGCAAAAAAGACAAAATTTGATAAGGAAAATGCCATCTAAAAACATCTTGTTTCCCTAGAAATAAGGCATTTCTCCTGTTCAAAATAGTTGTCGTTTTGAATTTTTACACATAAGTTCTCTTTTTCTTTTTCTTTTTCTTTTTCTTTTCTTTTTTATAAAACATATTAATTGTAATTTAAATAATTTTTTATATAAAATAAAACAACCCAACAAGAGTTTGTCTAAATTTTTTTTTCAAATATTAATCAAATAATATAAAAGGACATTTCTCAAATTAATGTGTAAAAATTTAAATTAAGCAACAGCTATATATTCTTGGACCAGAAGTATTTATCTTTTGCAATATGATACTATCGGTTTTCAGTGTATAATGGCAAGTGCTTACTCTCCTCTAGCACCGCGAAATGCTAAAAAAAAAAAAAAATTGTGCTTAATGTTCTTAAATTATTTTATTTTTTGGTAGTTTTCAAATTTTCTATTCAAGGGATAAAAAGAAAACCCTAATGTTATTAGGTCATGTGATAAAATGTGTGCTTTATATGGATAAAAATGCATTTTTACTTAATTAGTAATTAATTTTCTAGAGAATGTTTCAATAATTAAGAATTTTAAGACTCTATATTAGAGATTTTTATTTTATATCTAACATGGATAAGAAGAGATTTGGGAGGGGCTCCTGTTAGATAGTCAACCATACAAGGAACCTAACTGCTCGTGAAAGACAGAATATTGCATGGGACATGCAAATCTCTCTTCACATACGCCCCTGTGAACATCATTTTTATTTTTATTTTATTTATTTATTTATTTATTTTGCTTTACAAGAACTATTCCGCCTGTTCAGCACTCGTATCTCTGCTCCAGTTTCACACCACTCAAAACTCAACACGTCAAAATCTGGACAAAAGCATAATGCTAAAATTACAGCAGCAAGACATGCAGGATATGAATTTGATAATGCTGGACTTGCAGTGACTTCTTTACACCAAATTTCAAGCGTAATTAGTGTGATTGACTGGTTTTACGCAGTATTGATTGGCTTTTATTATGATTTGACATAAAACATTCATTATAATTTATAAGTCTAGTATCAACCGAATGAATTTGACATACCAGAAACTGGAGTGATCGTGTGGCCAAAGTTGAACAGCATGTTCCACGGGTGACCCTATAATGGTGAATCCCTCAGACCACAAAAGTTTAGGGAAGAACGAGGAGATGCGGGCCATCCCGTACCCTCTTGATCCCCCCGGTGATCGGATGGCCAACAGCTTACGCTTTTCCGGCAGTGCAAACAACCGACGGGTCTGGTTCTCTACTTGATTGAGAAGACTCATGGGAATGCCATGACTTTTGACCTGAAACACACCCCATTCCTCACTGGCCTGTCTTATAAGGGAAGCTGCATGCGGTGAGGCTAGGTCGATGAGGGGGACTTGTACATGGGGAAATCGGCAAACAGGTGATCGGTGATCATCATTCCATTTGTGAGAATCGGGAAGTTTGATGACGTTCTCGAAGTCTAAGGGGATGATATGGTTAAGAATGTTCATGGTTTTTCTGAATGATTTTGAGTTAAGTTAGAGACTATATGAAGTGATGTGGTTTTTGTTACTTAGTGTTGTAACTGTTGTTTCGTCTGTGTATAAGCAGGGCCCAGGGAGAGATCTTTTCGATTACTGTTGAATTGATATCAGATTTTTGTCTGCCTTGTAAGTTAGCGTTTGTGGCAAGTTTGTATTAGGGAGGCAAAATATCCTATATTATTTTAAAAGTAGTGATGCACTCGAAAATTTGGAACTAATAAATAATAATGAAACGTAAGTCATATTATTAAATGAATTGATGTATATATTATGATAGATTTAAAAGGATAAAAAGAATTAACAATTAAATAATGTAAAGTCTATATTTAATATTTTAAATGATGTGACATTAACAAAATTGATGAACTAACAAAAATACTCTTATTTAAACAATTTGAATACTCAAAATGAATTACAAAATTTATTTATATTAAAATATAAACTAAATATTAGATTGATTTTCTATATCAATATAAACAATTAGAAAGTTTGAAAGAATTTGGGTTTAGTATGGTTGTGATTTTTAATTTTTGATTATGGTTTTCAAAATTTAAACAATTAAAATTAATAATTAAAAAGCAAAATTAAAAATTAAAGTTGTCAACTTAGTGGATATAAAATTTTATAATAGATATCCAAAACTCTAAATTTAATTAATTTATAGAAGTTTTTAATTTTATTTTAAGGTTTCTAAATTTTTGAAAACTAAAACAAAAAATTTTAAACCACGACCATACCAAACGTAGTCTCATTTTTCATTTTGTTTCAAAACATTTTTCCCCAAAGTTAATAAAATTACAGTTCTATTAAGAATCGAATAGAAAATATATTGTAAATTGTAGAATGGTAATTAACCAAGATCACAGGATTTTACTTATGAGATTTTTATCTATATGTTTATAATTGTTGTGAAATAAAGGTGGAAATTACACCTTTTATTATAAACGTTCGTAATTTCTTCAACTATTAGTTCTCTAATTGATGGGTGTTTTTGGTAGTAACCCCAGTATCCAGAAATTACATTGAGTTTTGATTAATTTGGAGTTGAGCTGGTCAAACCCCATATGAGGAGAAACTCTCTCAAAATCTCTCAAAATCTCTCAAAATCTGTTTTTTCATTCATAAAATTCAAACTCAAGATCTTATTTAAAGGGAATCGATCTCTTTCCACTCAGACCAACAAGTCGTTGGTTTTAATTGATTGGTGTTAATTCACCAAAAGATGACACTAATTTCCATGCATTAAAATGTGATTTACTCCGTTACTCTTCATATCTCCAACAAAAATTTGCTGCATTGAAATTTGATTTACTACTCCACATTTCCACTAGAAATTTACTTTTTATTGGACCATTAATTTTGATTTTGTGAGTTACAATCTCTTCCGTTAAAAATAAATCATTTTATGTGAAATAAAATATAAGCTACAAGCTTTATTTTTTCTTGTTAGCGCTGTTCTTTTACTTTTCTCTATTTCATGTTTTATTCATTTTCATATTCTTATTTCATAACAATAATTGATTTGTATAAATATATGAATTATGTAAATAACTTGAAATAAGTGTTAACATAGTATAAACTAAAGATTTTTAAGTTTATTAAACAAGTTTAAATACATATTTTCAGTTTAAATAATGAAAAAAATACTCAAGAATCTATAATTGATAAAGAAACTAGAAAAAGATTAAAATGCTTTTAAATAAAAAATTTAAGGATAAAAATTATACAAGTAAAAGTTAAAGGACTAAATTTTCATTTAAAAATTTTTAGAGGGGTCTAAGCCCTCATGCATTCTTTGTCTGTAGTAGTGCAATAAATTCGATACTCCATTTGTCCCAAAATAATACAGGTTTTTTTTTTTTTTTTAATTTGTCTCCGATTAATTTTTTTGGACAATAATACCCCTAATTTAATATATTTCATAACATATTTATTAAAATTTATTATCTTTTAGTTTGAAATTAAAAGTGAAAAAATATAAAAATTTAGCTATGCATACAGCATGGAGAGCTAGCTAAACCAACTACACTTATATTATTATATTTTAATGGCTGAACTAGCTAGGCATTAGTGTGTGTGTTATGTTGGCCCAAAACATAGCGACCTAAGAGGGGGGTGGATTGGGTTTATAAAAACTTATGTAACTTTTGGATTCAAAACAATGAATAAGCAAATGCAAGCACATACAAGTAAGCTAAATTGCAAAAAATAAAAGAGTAGTGAAGAGAAAAATCAAACATAGTAATTTATAGTGGTTTAGTTATAATTTGTGTTTATTCCACTTCTCAAGTCTCCTACTTGAGAGTTAGATTTGAATTCAAATGTTCTCCT